ATTTTCTTATTTAAAAAATCGGAACTGAACTATAATGTGACTAAAGAAGGGGAGTGATTATATAGGAGGTGACTATATAGGGGGTCGACTTTATAAATAAATATTTAATAGCTAATATTAAATTGCAAATTTCAACATTTATATATGCATTATATTTTTCTACTAATTTAATATTATAAGGAACAACCCATCGGTTATCTAACTGAATTCTATTTCTAATTTCTATATAATGAGCATCATATTGTCGACGGTAAATTGAATATCCATCAGAATTTTCTTGTATAGTTTCTTGAAAGTTTTTTTGGATAATACTTTTGGCATTTACCATCTTTCATAAATGATGATGATGGATTTAATATATAACATGGGCCATACATCATCATAGTTGTTACAGTTTCATAAACTAAAGGATTTAATTTATGATTAGGTATTTCTGCAGAAATAATTGAATCATATTCTTCTATCGAATGAATTTTATTTTTAGAAGCTAATATTAGTAAGATGTGTGCATGATGTAATCCTCGTTTTTGAAATTCTATTACATAAATATATGCAATAACTTTTCCAAATAAATTTCTTTCACACAGATCTTTCATCATTTCTTGTAATTTCATATGAAAAACTCGAGTAGTTAAATCAGGCCTATTAGCAGCAATTTGACCTGATAATAATTCTTGTATAATTTCTGGACATTTTGGATTACATGTGAAGGTAATAAAAAGATCAGGCTTACCAAAATGACGTACAATTACCATTGCATCTTGATATAATTGATACATATATCGTGGTTCACCAGAAAAAGTTGATAGAAGAATTATACGACATCCAATATTATTAGTATTATCTCCTGCATATATTGCATCTACAGCTCCTTGATAAAATTCAGTTCAAAGTTCTAACTGATTTTGTCTTAAATAATTTAAACGATTTTGCTCAATTTTAGCATATTGATCAACAATATATTGCTGATATAATCGGTCAGCATTTTGTATCCAATCACTATTCCTAATTTGTAATCTGTAAGAATAAAATTGCATTTGTGTTACTCTTTTTCTTGCTCCAGGTTCTGTAAGAGGAATATCAGTATGCCAACCATCATCACCTTTTGGAAATAATAATACATAATGCAAGGCATCATAAGAGGGATGCAGTTCAAATATTCTTTGTAAACCTCCTTCACGAGTTTTAAGCAAAATATCACGATTTAATAGTTCAATATCATGTCCATTTCCTATCATAAGTGCTGCAACTTCAGATGATATAGGTACACTATAACTATGTAAATTTTATATACAATTATTATGAATTAGCATTGATATATTAGAAGTTTCAGATGTCTGAAAAATATCTAGTGCTTGTCGAAAAATATGAATATAGGGATTGATTATGTCAAGCATATTTTGTAAGTTTTTTAGAATTGTTGCATTTAAATTTTGCATAAGATTAAGATGATTTCTAATTTCATGTTCAGTATCATATATATATAGTTGAGCAAATTTAGGTACTTGTTCTTTTTCTGGTAATAATGGTCTAATAAGATTATAAACTTGACCATGAATGCTGAAATTAGATACCCCTTTACTCTGAAATTCATCATTTACATTAGTACCAAATGATATGCAAGCTAATAAACTGTTATAACTTCTAACATTTTTACGAAAAGAATTAGCTTCAGATTCTAATGAAGTATAGAGATTCATTAAATATGGAGGTGGTTTAAGCAAAGGCAATAATCTAACTTTTCTATTAACACAACATACAGAAAAAGTAGGAGAAATCTGTGTGCTTCTTTGATTTTTTTCATCCATCCAAAACTTGGCACCACAATGTAAACATAACTGATTCATACTTTCTAAGTCATGACGAATATCAATATTATTATTAATACGTCTTCTTTTGTAATTTCTTTGTCTAATCTGATTTAATCTTCTTTGACGATCATTAGAAGTTTCACTTCTATTATTAATTTGGTCTATTGAAGCCATTTGGATTAGAAATTTATTTATATTATTTTAATATGATAGATTATATGATATGAATAGTAATAAAATAATAAAATATGTATTTTTTTTATAATTTAAATACCAAACACCTTATATTGTATATAAGTAACATTTATACATTTGAATATTACACTAAATATAAATACCAAATATAATATTAAATA